TAAAATAGACTATGGTGTATGTTCATGAATTCATTCATTAGTCAGTGTTATTTATATAGAATAAGGAAAGCTCTCTATCCAGAATTCCTTAATAGGGAGTACTGTGCTTATCTACCAAAATGTACAGCAGAGCGATTCCAAGAAGTCAGAGACCCATGTACTCCAAAAACAGGATTTGCTTGTTTATTGGGAAAACACTGGTGGCCATCTCATATGCTGCCAGCCCAGCTTCCTGCTTCCACTCCTCTACCATGTGCACGTACACATACACACAAGCACAGAGTCACACACATTGTCACACACATTCACTTTCACATTTACACCCATGCAAACACTCACATATAGACACACATGTACATACATGCAAGTACATGCACAGTCATATACATATATATATATTTATATTTATATATATACACAAACACATTTTTGGAGACATAAATCACACATATACAGATATATATGCATTTAGACTCAGACACACACTCTTACAGGCACACATATGCAAATGAAAAACCATGCATGAAAATAGTCACAAATGCACATACATACATACACACAAAATGCACACATACATGCAGACACACTTTCACATTGACACACATGTATACACAGACTGCACACAGATACACAATGTACCTACAAACACACACTTACATATACATACACATATACATCATTATACACACATAGGTCCCTGTATATACACAAAGGCAAGCACACACAGACATGAAGAAACACACGTACATAGACACAGAGCCAGAAGTACACATGTACATAGTCACACACACACATACACATGCGTACGTATTCAGAGACAGAAAATACATGCACATACATATACACAAACAAAATGGATACACACATGCACACACAGAGACACACATAAACATGGAAGCACAGGTGGAACACACACAGCCTGACTTCTTTTGAGGGATGGAGAAGGGGAGAAAGTGACTTTTCCTCTATTTCCCATCTTGACTCTCCAATCCGTGCTTCCTGAAGTCTGTCCTAAGTAGGAATCAGCACCAGATGTGAACTCCAGTTCCTCTAAAGCAAGGTCTCCCGTCTGTCGTTTTCCAGCAGGAGAAAAATAAGCCTGCTGGGGAATGTGGAGCGAGGGGCTAAGGAGCCAGGGGCTGGGGAGCCAGGTAGCGGGCATCCTCCTCACTCCAGCTCATGGTTACTGATGCATGGAAACCTGCCTTAAGTTTGTTGTAAGTAAATAAAAGCAAAGGTGTGCTGCTAAGGCAATCCAGTCACCTGTGACCCTGAAGCATGACCGCCAGAGGACTGTCAATCAGCCCCGGCTCTGATTTCCATCTACAGTTATT